GCCTCTGCTTTCCCGAGCCGGAGGCCCTTCTCCAGACTGCTCTCTCCGGACAACACGCCCAAAGCCCGAGACGACGTCTCACCATCCTTGCCTCAAAAGAGCATTCTCGCTGTACGTCTTCCAAGCCACATTTGCCAGTTCTTTTGGCAGTCCAAGGTACTTTCAATATTCCTCACCTGCACCAGAATTTGAATTTTGGAAGGTTAGAGTCCAGAGATCTTTCCTGGGTAGGCCCAGATGGGATCTACCTCCTAAGTGCCTCATGAACATACTCATGACCTAAATGTGATGGGAGGGTCTTTTCATAGAAATTCCATATATGTGGGTGGTGTAGTGATTACTTGTTGAGCTGTTCATCATAAGGTCAGTAGTTCAAAACCACCGGGTGCTTTTCAGGAGAAAGATGAGACTTTCTCCTCTTGTTAAGAGTTAGTCTCCGAAACTCACTGGGCAGTTCTACCTTGGCCTACAGGGTCACTTGAATCAGAATTGAGTTGATGGCAGTGAGGGTTTTTTTTTTTTTTGGGGGGGGGAGGCAGAAAGCGGGTTGCTATGCTAAGATAGCTGTTTTCCTGATGTGGCCTGTAAAGCTCCTCCCTGGGAGGAACTGTGGTCCTCCCTGAGGGGTGGGCGGCCCACAAGGGAGGACGCAGGTCCTCCAAGAGGAAACCAGGCTCCAGCAGTCCACACTCTTCTCTGGTTGTTTTGTACTTGCACTTCAGGGACTTTGAGGGAACCTCGGGGGCTGTTTGTCTCTGCTCTCTTGGGGTTTTTCTACTCCCCGGGTTGCAAACCCCAGGCCCTCTCAGATCCTAGACCTGGCAGAGAGATTCTCAGCTGAGGCCATTAGGTTTCCTGAGTGATGCCCAGCCAGCCAGCCGAGGAAAAGATGGCTAGAGAGGGGGCGTGAGAAAACAGGCACTGCTGGTGCGGGAGCTAGCTCCCCGTGTGCAGTCCAGGGCATGTCCTAGGAACTTGCTTCATCTGGTGATGCGCCAGGAAACATGAAGGCCCCTTGACTTCATTTATCCTCATAAAAGGCCATTCCTGACACCGGACCACCACCTGTGTTGAAGGATTGATAAAACCTGGACTTCAGATCAGTCAACACTGATGGGCTGGGACTTCACAAGATGGCAGCCTCGCAGATAAGATGACCACCTTGGGAACCACCTGTTTGGAAGCCTTGCACGCCATTCTCTTCTTCCGCCCCTGGAAGAGCTTTCTCAGGCCTTGTGCCCAATTCTTTAAGACCTAGTGCTGACATTTTCTGCCATCTGTTTGGAGTACCCTATCAGGATGGGGTATATCCTTTTATTTGCTCATCATCTTTCTCCCCAAAATGCCAGAAATCTCCTTTGTTCCTTAAAATCTCCATGGAGTTCCTTCAACGTCTGGTCACTGCTCCTAAAAACAAAGCTTTTGTGCTCACTGATCCTTTTGGCAATGAATTCAGCATATACAGTGTGCTACATTCCAATACTCGGTTTAAGGTAAGCATTAATACCTGTTACTTAACCATTTTTATTTAGATGTATGGCAGAGATCCCTGCTAGCATGGTATCTCTGAAACAATAAATCTGTTCTGTGCAGTGGCTTTGATTTGGGTAGATATTTCTATCAGTCATGTCAATCTATTTTCCACGAAGGGAATTTGATTATCAAAGTCTCTTTGGAAGCCAATAAAAGTGACAGTAGGATCAGATTTTTAAAAGTAAAATTAGAAGGTAATTAACTGTAGTATAATTGTAAAACCATTTTCATTGTTATATGTAACGTTATAATAAAAGCATAGTTTCCATTCTTCCACATGCCTTTGTTCAGTGCCTCTTTGCCACACAATCATGACTCAATGACAATTCAAAGGAGAAATATTTAAATATGCCTATTAAGCATTTTCTCTTAAGAACTAGGTGAAAGTTAATTATCTGCGGATGGACTGGGATAAAGAGGATGTGGCATTCTAGGTAGAGTCAGGTCAAACTAGTGTGTCACTAAATCTACCATCTTTTCTTTCCTTAGCAAACAAAATCCTTGCTGAGCCAGAACCAATTAGCCGATCAACGCTCATTATGTATACACTCGTTATACATTCACTAGTGTTGTGACTTTCTTGAGCCCAGGCAGCCCAACCAACCAGAAGGCTGCTCGTCTGCACTGATGGTGACCTACCACTGGCACCTGGAAACCCCTCTTAGTTCGCTGGATCGAGTTTGTATCAAGAGCATCACTCAAGAATACTTACACGGCTCATTGATTTGCCTAAAAAAAAAAAAAAGCAGGCATCAGCCACATTCCCGTTCATCTGAACATCAGGGAGATGAATTCTAACATCCAAGAATTTTGTTCTGTAGAAGTACAAACTAGTTTGGGACTGGGTTGGTAATATAATTCCCGAAGGAGAAACTCTTAGTGAAGACCATCATCCTGCCTCATTCCAATGTTTCTATAGTTCATAACAAAATGCTTTACTCTTACTAGGCTCCATATTAGGAGGATCAGAGCCATCATCTAGTTATATAGTCTGCATGAGCTCATGAATTTTCAAGTCATGAGGCCAATGAATGTACAAATGTGCTTTACACAATTGATGTATGGATTGTGATGAGTTGTATGAGCCCCTAAGAAAATGATTTTTTTTAAAAAGAATGAAAAAGGTGGTTTAGAATGACCTGGAAACAGAAAAGTAGGTGATTTTGGAGACCCAGCTTTTGTTATTCTGTTCAACCACGTTAGTGTGTGCTGATTGACAGTCGTATTGACTCAATAAATGTCATCTTTAGGAGAAGCACTAAGTCACAGGGAATCCAGCATGGATGACCCCTTCAGGACCAGTGGTGATACCGGGAGGGGTGGAAAGGGAACCAATTACAACGGTCTACATATAACCTCCTCCCTGGGGGACGGACAACAGAAAAGTGGGTGAAGGGAGACGTCGGACAGTGTAAGATATGACAAAATAATAATTTATAAGTTATCAAGGGTTCATGAGGGAGGGGAAAAATGAGGAGCTGATGCCGGGGGCTTCAGTGGAGAGCAAATGTTTTGAGAATGACAAGGGCAATGAATGTACAAATGTGCTTTACACAATGGATTGTGTAAAGAGTTGGATTGTGATAAGAGTTGTATGAGCCCCTAATAAAATGATTACAAAAGAGAGAGAGAAGTACTACTGATATTTTAAAAGAAGATAATTTTCTCTCTCTTGTCCTTTGTTGGGTCTCACTGCCCAGGGAGATCACCGTGAACCTTGTCTACTCCAAGAAATATTTCTACTTATACAAGCTTGGTCAACTCTTGTCTTTGGAGTCCAGAAATTGTGTCGCAAGTGGCTTTGCATTCTTTTGGAGCTTGCTGGTAAAGAGCATCTTGGGTTTGAGGGAACCCACGGCGTCTATTAACAAGACAACTTGAGACAGAATTAGAAGTGTGCCTAAGGCTGGAGAGAACATTGGTTCAGCCTCAGCTGGCCTGAGTCCGAAGTACTTCTCTGCATAAGACACCAGCAGCAGCTGGGACCTGCTCCCAGAAGGGACCGGGCATTGGCCGGGCTGCCGCAGGAGAAATGACTCAGCAAACTGGCTTAGAAGCCAGACGTGGCGGTTTCCTTTCCTCCCTCCTGTGGGGGCACACTTGTCGTCGTCATTCCAATTATTCCTAGGCTCCGGGAGAGAAGATACGCACAAAGGAGCTGAGAGAAAGGGACGTGGCTACACACATAGGATTATGCATCATCATCCAGGATGTACCAAACCAGGGCTTTCCTAGCTGCATCCACACCTGTGAGCAGAGGAAATGCACAGACAGCCCTACCCATCCCACCTCGTAGACTGCTCTTTCCCTGAAGGAAGAATCAAGTGAGGTAAGAGATGTAATAGGACCAATAATAAAGGTGGAGAAAGGTGTTAAAAGAAGAGCTGAAAATGATGAGTCTACGTGAAGGCATCCACATTCAGAAGACCGAGAAGTGGCTGAGGAAATCTGTTTAGAAACGTGAACTGTGACTGGGGTGTGGTGGGGCAGACGAAGACTGGACAATCATGGGAAATGACAGGGCACAATTCAGCACTCTAAGGAAACACTTGTAACTGGTTTGTCACCCTCGCTGCATTGCACCTGCCCTTCAAAATTTACTTCGGATGCTAAGGTGACAGAGAACGGTCACAGGTCCAAATGTGGTGAGAATCAAAGTAACCGTGCGATTCTTTCAGGGATACAGTTCGAGAAGAAAACAACGTTGAAAGACTAGAGTTGGTGGTTATTGTGTGCAAATGTCTGTCCCCAGTTGGGGAGCATGCAGGTGGTTGACAAAGGAAAAAGAACCAGTCTGTACACGTCCTGTTCCTGTTTGCTTAACCAACATCCTCGGCATCTCCCTTGAGGGGGAGACAGCAAAGGGCAAGTGCTCACAGGAGCTCCTGGGTGGTATAAAAAAAATGGTTAATACACTCACCTTCTAACTAAATGGTGGGGGTGGGGGTGGGGCGGGGTTGTGTTCAAGCCACCCAGAGGCGCCTAGGAGGGGCCTGGTGATCTAAGTCCTACAAAGACCCAACCCATAGAAAACCCCATGGTGCACTGTTCTACTTTGACAAGAACTTGGTGGCAAGTTGTTCTGTTGTTTTGTATTTTTTTCAGTGCTTTCTTCAGCCCTCTAGTTTCTAAGGGCTGATCTCCGGGAAATATTGGCCTCCAGGGAGGGCACTTGGGTTAGAGTGTTTACTGCGCAGTATAAATGAAGGAAACCGATTCACAGAAACGAACCGAACCGTGCCAGAGGTTGGCATCAGGGTTGATGCTACAAAACCTCCAACCTGCTGTGTCCATTTCCCTCCACTCCAGGGGGCCTCATTCCTCAGATCTCACACTTGCAGGAAAGAAAGTTAGAGTGGATGGAAATCATGTTTCACCTGGTTTTAAAATCTCATGCACACTTTGGAGAAGCAAATTTTCTAGCCTTAGGCGTAAAAGAAAAAAAAAAAAACCCTTACGTTCTTGGGTATAAATAAGCAACGTTCATTTTAATGTTTACTCTTTATTGTGTTGCATGAAGTACCTATGTAATGCAAGTATGTACTGCACGAACACCCATCTCTCCATAGACATCGTGTGGTGAGGCCCAGTCTCTGCAGAAGCGTCGTGAACAGCCTGTGCCCTCACACTGTACAGGTCAGGGCGGACTGCTGACAGGAACACGGCAGGTGAAACCAAAGAGAAGCAAAGAGAGACGCCGAGCATGAGCACACTGTTCCAAACACATACGCACACTGCTCGTATGGACACAGGCCGGGTGACATTGGATGCTGCATCTATAAAATGTAGACTCTGCAATAGAAAGCCGAAGGCACATAAAAATATATTTTAACTTTAAAAATAACTTAGTTACAGTAATACTTGGCTTTGTGTCTTACCAACACGTAGCTGACGGTCAAATTTTGGCAATATAGATATAACATATAGGGAATATATAAGAGCTACAAGAAACGTCCCCAAACCCTTAACATTATGCAAATGTGAAAACGGGGAAAGATTTTAATACTGGAGAATTCGCTCTGGTGAGCCCAAATGAGATAATATACAAAAGCGTCTAGCAAAAAAAAAAAGGCTTGAGTGTTAAATAATCTTGACTTCCTCTTGCTCAGAAAATGCCGGAGTCCTGTCAGGCTCCATCCCGGGGCTCGCCTGGCCCTTCTTTAACAAGTGCCAATCCTGGCCAAGCCAGGCTCCGGCCTTGATGTCTGCACACAGAAATGAGAGTTGACCCTCAGCAGTGCCCGCCCCAAGTGGGCTCTGACTGACTCATTTCCTCTTTTCCCCAAGACAGGTTTTTATTGTGGTTGTTTTAAACGTGTTGCAGACAGGACATAACACAATAGGTACAAAAATATCTCGCAGGAACGTCATCTTAGGAAACCCACGGTGCGCCTGATTGCAAATCCAGCCCTTGACGCTCCCCTGCTCCCCTCTCCGACCGTGGCTCGTTTTGGCTCATGGGTCCCTTTCACCTCCGGGGACCAGGGCAGGGGGGCTGTCACTTGTTTTTATCCATGACGTTTAGCACTTCATCCAAGAGCGAGGGCCCCAGGTCGAGCTGCAGGGAGAGGAGGGAGCCGGTCAGATCCGAGAGGGACTCCTCTGATGTCGTCTTTGCCTTGAGCTTGCCCCGGGCAGGCTGGTCAAACAGGTCCTCAGCCGGCCAGTCGGAGTACTGTTCCGAGAGGCTGGACGAGTGGCTGTCCCTGCCCTGACTGGACTGAGAGGCGGACCCGCTGGAGCCCCAGGAAGTGTCTGCCTGGTGGGTGCTCCCATTCTCCAGCAGGCTTCTTTGCTCCGGCGGCTTTTCCTCCACGACAGGCTCACAGCTGAGCCTGGGCAGCTTTGCTGGCCCGAAGGACTCCTGTTTGGAGTTGAAGGTCACCTGGGACAGTAAGGGCAGCATGAGTGCTTGGGACCCTCCAATGGTTGGGAGGGAGATGGCATTTTTGAGCACGGGGGAGGGTGTTTCTGGGAACATGGAGTCAGAGGTGCTGTTGGCCCGGAAGAACTCGTTATGCCCCGGGAACTGGCCCAGGCGGGCTTTCTCCTGGTTTCCAGGTAACAACTCATAGTTGCCTTGGAGAAAGGAAATGTCCCCAAAAACGTCGTGCTGGCCCTCCTTGCCAATGTGGATGGTGTGGCGGAAGTCTCCGAGGGGAGGGCTGATCATGTCGGGGGACAGAATGTCCCTCAGTTTAAATTTCTTTCCTTTCTTGTTATTGGCAGCTTTCAGGTATATCGGGGTCTTGGCTGGCATTTTGGAAGTTGAAAAGGTCTATTTTGTGGAAGAGAGCGAGGACCACTTCCCTCCAGAGGCTGTACACGCCCCCAAAGTCCTTTTGCCAATGCCAAGGAGCGGTCACATCACTTTCTCCAAGCAGACGGGGCGGGGCCCAGGAGAGCTGGGAGCCAGGTGGGGCGTCCACGAGAGCTGCTCACACCATCCAGTCCTTTCCACACCATGGACCTGGAGGAACAAAGCAGAGGCAGTTACACACTGGGGACTGTGCAGGGATCGCGGTGGTTTTGTGTGACTGGATCGATTCCGACTGACGGAGTGTAGGTGGGGTGGTGCCGAGGCTGGGACTTTGACCGAACTTTCTCGTTGCTTTTCCATTGCCTGTGCCAAAAGTGAAAGGTGTTCCTGTCTTATTTATTTTGAATCATTTTATTGGGGGCTCCTACAACTCTTAACACAATCTATACATCAATTGAATCAGGCATGTTTGCACATAGGTTGCCCTCATTCTCTTCTAGACATTTACTTTCTATTGAGCCGTTGGTACCAGCTCTTTTTTTCTCCCCCTCCCCTCCCTCATAACACCCCAGTAAGATTGTACATTGTTATTATATTCATCTCTCACACCGACCGCTGTCTCCCTTCCCCCATGTTTTCTGTGGTTCTGGCCCCTGTAGAGGGGTGCATGGCTATGTGTCGATCACTGCGATCGGTTCCCCGTGAAGCGTGTTCTCACAGAGGAACTCAATCAGTAATAAACAACTGACCCCCCAGCCCCCAATCACACTACAAACCCACCCTTCCTGCTAGTGTACAGCCAGTCGGTGACGAAGCTGGGACAGGAGTGCACATTGTGGGGAGTGCTGAGCCCAGGATCTGGTGGCCTGAGACGGAGGGAGAAACAGAACAAACTGGCTGCCAGGTCTGCGGCTCCTGGTGCTGCCACCTTTACGGACTCTGACTTACTTCAAACGAATAAATCTATGTGAAGGTGTGGAGCTCACTTCCCGGATTAGGCTACATTACAGAAGGCTTCTATCTCGGCCAACCGTCAAGACTCCCCCCCTTGCTGGCTAGGAAGACGCAAGCACACGTGTTGTGAGGGAGCCTGTGGAGGTCAACAGCAAAGAGTCTAGAAGTGTCCCTGGTCAGATTCTGATAAGATAAATCACAGCCCTGGCTGACACTTAGATTACATACAGCCTGAGCAGACCCCAAGCTAAAGGATAACTAGCAGGTATTGTTTCCCCGTCACTAAGTTTGTGGAAATGTGTACACAGCACCCCACCTCCGCCCGCCCATGTTATGTTATATCTTAAGATTAGAGAAGAGCTAGAAGATGTTGGAAACTGAGGCCTTTATGTTAGAAATGATAAACTGGTACACACAGCACCATGCCTTATCAGTTGCAGAGGATCCTCTGCAGCTGCATCAGCTGACACTGGTCCCGCTGCGGGATCCCCCAATGCCTGCGCCGCCACTCTCTGCCCCTCGGCTCCACAGCCTGCAAAAAAATACCCCAGGGCTGGGCGCGACATGTGCCTGCAGCAGCTGAGTGCTGTCCCCGTCGGCCCTTTCACAGCAGTTTAAAGTCACTGCCAATAGCAGGGGACAAGAAGTTTGCTCTCCCACCCTCTGTCACAGGGACAACTGTTTGGGGGGTGGGGAGGGAATGGGCACGTATCTGCGAACAGAGCCTGCCAGCAAGCGCATGCTCCAGGCCAGAGAAGGAAGTGGGATGGACAGACACCCAGCCCCACTTACCAAGGTGGCATGAAGAGGTGTGTGCCCATGCACAGCAGGCTCATCTCAACACTGCCCAGGAGAACTCGTTCCAAAAAACCCTCCAAGCTCCCTGCCTTCAGGTTGATGCGGGCTCACGGCGCTTCCCTAGGACCGCGTGGAACTGTCCCTGGAAGGCCCTGTCTTCCACCCGACAGGACTAGCTCCCGCCCCTCCTGTTCTCTGGAGCCTCTGCCAAGGCCCAAGTCAAAGGAGCCAGGTAAGGCAGTGGGTGGGCAACTGCCAGGTCAGCAGTTTCAACCCCCTCACGATTGCAGGAGACAATCACACTAAACTCACTGCCATCAAGTGGATTCCGACACAGACCCTGTCGGGCAGGGTAGAACTGCAGGCGTGCTGTGTCTGAGACTATAATCTGGACAGGGCAGTTCTACTCTGTCCTGTGGGCGCGCTGTGAGCCGGAATGGATTCAATGGCAGCGAGTTTGGCTCGGCTTGGTTTCGGTATGGTAGTGGGTCAAAAAACTCCCTGAGTGTGCTGCCCTCTCCAAGGTGCCCTGCCGGCCTAAGGACACAGAGTGGGTTCGGTGGCCCATTTCCGGTCAGGAGCATCAGAGACACTGTGGTTTCAGGAGACTCAGCTCTAAGTGCAAAGATGGGAAACCCTAGTCAAGGGATCTGTGACTTGGGCCTGGTTTGTGTTCTCTCTCTCTCTCTCTCTCACACACACACACACACACACAATTTTAGTCCTAATTTGGTTCTTATAGTAATAATAAGCTTAAAGGCTGGGTCCCCTTGCTAAAACATCAGCACTTCCTTCTGGGTAAGTACAAAATGCACGGTTCCAGCCTAGGGCCCTGCCACCCGCCCTCCAGGCTTCTCTGGATACAGTGTGGGGGACCGGCTGCAGAGGTCTGGGGGACAGCCCTGATGGCCTCAACACACACAGCCAGGAGGGCAGGTGCCATGCAGTGTATTCGCCTCACTCAGGGTGGCTGCTGGAGCCTACTGAGAGGCGCCGTGGAGGACTGGGACTGTCGCAGAGGTCATCCGTCTTTGGAGCAGTCCTCCTCTGCCTGCATGGGGCTGCCGTGAGTCTGAGTCCCCTTGCAGACAACTCACAATAAGGAACAGGCTGCGCTTTCTCAGAGCCAGTGCTCCTGGGTGAGCTAGGTGACCGCAACGCAAACGTCTCTGTGGGGAGATGTGAGCAAAAGCCACCGCCCGGTAAGGAAGGCAGTGTGTGATATAAGAAGTCCTTGGAAGAGGACCAAGGAGCCTCAGGTGGCACAGCGGGTTTACAAGTGGTGCTGTTAACTACAGTCAGCAGTTCTAAACCACCAGCCGCTCTGCGGGAGAAAGATGAGGCTTTTACTCCGGCAAAGAGTCAGCCTGAGAACCCACAAGGCTAGTTCTACTCAGTCTTACAGGGCTGTGATGAGCTAGAATCGAGTGGATGGCAGTTAGGCTTTGGGGGCTTTTAAAAGAAGGCCAGGCCTGGCTGCTGGTGGCTAACCACGGTGGCAGTAGCTGAGTGGGGATCAGAGTGGGGACAGTCTGAGCTGGGGGACACCCAAGCAGCTTTGCTCTGTGCCCACAAGGAAGCCGTGCTTGCAGGAGGGTGGCGTGGGAGAGAAGGGCTACCTTGGGGGGCTTACAGGCCAGGAGGGCATGACTAGATGCTGGCATGAGAGCATTCTGGGCTTGCAAGCGACCATCTGCTTGCTCCTGCCCAGAGTCTGGCATCAATATAACTCCTGGGCACTGACCCTTCCAGGGTGCTGACCCACACTCAGCCTCTCTTGCCCTTGGCCTCTAACCTTTGTCATATACTATGGACTAGGCTCTCGGTGTCCCCGTTTGTCTCCCCCCACTCTCCCTGCCCCTTGGCCTGTCTTCCAGCTATAGCTCTCTCTCCTTTACCTCAGAAAACTCCTCCAACCACAAGTTCTATATATAGCCCTCTCTCAAAACCCTTCCTTGACCTGAAATCTGAACTCGCCGACCAATCCGCTCCATGTTCTTGGATCTGTGTTTCTCCCTTAGATGACAGAGGCAGTGGTCACCTGGGACACTCGGTTCCTCTGACAAGAAATGCTCCGGTGCCTGGGCGCTGGGGGGGATTCACCCAGAGAAGGGCTGGACTCCTCAGCGAGGGGGTAGGGGGAGCCCTAGAGAGGTGGCTGCTGGGCAGGAGTATGGGCCGCGATGTCCAGTCGGCAGTGGACAGGCTCCCATTTACAGGCACCAGGGACAGAACTCAAAGGGCTCCAAGGCCCCAAAGTGCCAGAGAGCTGGAGCCAGGTGTTCCTAAGACAGACTGAGTAGGGCCGGCGTGGCACTAACCTGTGGCTACTGAGCCCGTTCTGACTTATGGGGACTCCAGGTGTCAAAAGTCCAGCATGTGTTCTGGATCTCCAGGATGCGGGTCACCAAGCCTTCAAGCCTTTATTCCGAAGTGCCATGGGGGGGGGGGGGGGGGTGTTAAACCCTAGGCTTTAAGTTAGTCATTGAGCACCGTTCGTATGACCCAGAGACCTTGACTTGGCAATTCTCTTACTTGTGACTAATTTAAGCAGAAATGACAGTGGCAACAGCAGAAATATGCACAGCAATAGTAGTTCAGCGGAGGAAAGAGTGAGAGGCTCTTTGTTTTATCTCCTTGTTTCTCCTTTTGTCAGCAGACACTGAAAATACCAGACAGGGTAGCAGCACGAGGAGGTGGAAAAACAGGGGCCACGAGTATGGCACCCGGCAAACCCAACTCTCGTGGCTCTGAAAGAACCAGGAGGCCGGAAGGAAGCGATTCCATTTATTCTGAGAAAGGAATGTTTGGTTTGCCTACTAACGATTCTTAGATGAATTCCTAGTGGAGCGAGAGACTAAAACATGTCTTGCATCCTGCGAAATAGGTTGCACAATGTTAATTAGAAACATGTATGTATAAAAATAGGTGGGATAAGGGGGGCCAGCGCTGCCCAGAGAGACCTCCTGGGTGTTTCCTTTCTCCTGCTTCCCGGGAGGGAGTCTGCGCCTGGTTTCCCTCTCTGGCTTGGCCGTCTGTCCTATCCTCCCAGGGCACCTAGCTCCCGACACTTTCCACTTTGCAGCAGTGCATCCATGCCACATGCACTCAGCACATCCATGCCGCATGCACTCAGCACCATGGCCCCACCTGGGCTCTGAACAGAAACATTAGAGTTCCCCTTGATCAGCAGTCTTAGGTAAGGATGACTCACCTAAGTACCCTCCCTCCACCACCTCCCACCCCCTAGCCATGTTTGGAGAGCTTCCCTCTCAGCTAGAAGAGGCAATGACCCCTGCCCTGCGAGAGGCTGAGAAACCTCACAACACTGCAGCAAGTGACCCAGGCCTCCGAACATTCGAAGGGATAAAGGCTCCCTGCACCTAGCAGGAGCCAAGGTCACCTAAGTGAGAAGGAGCTAAGGAACTACACAGGTTCAAGAACACTCAGGGGGCATG